TTTATGTCAAATGGTTCCTTGGCAAATGCCAAGCACATTGCTAGAACAGGTCCTGCCTCGGTCATTCCATATCCCTATTACATCAAATGAAATCATTGATTAGCCTTGCTCTGTATGCATATTTTCTATTTTAACATTAAAATCTTGTATGCATTAAAGCACAATTCACGCATGCAAGACATGGGAATGATCCAAAAGACAGTGCATCAGAACTTAGCTGCAAAACTCCCATCCTTTAGTCCATACCCTATGAAATTAATGTTGATTATACACAGGAGGAGGAGGTGATCTGTTAAAAATTACATATGTGATATTGGTTACATTAATTTCATGGTGAGAAAGACCCTTCAACCCCCTAAGTATTAAAAAAAGAAAAACTATCTTCTTAAAAATAAGCTAATGGTAGAAATTTTATGTTTGTATTACGGTGGAGAGTGCTTTTCTACAAGTGTCTTTTAATTTTTTTAATATTTTTTATATTATCATATTAAAATCATTAAAAAAATCAATTTAATACCATAAAGCACAAACTGAAACTAAAAATAAATACATCCTTGAAAGGCTAAAAATATAACCTATTTTTCGGGTTTTAATACTTGTAAGCACTGAGTAGGACACAACTACGGCCCTCCTAAAATTTAATGGAAAAATAAACCGACAAGGTCTGTCTAAATTCCAATGAAATGGTACACATTTATTAACTTCGATGAAGAAAGAGAGACTAATTAATAACCGACAAGGTCTGTCTAAATTCCAATGAGATGGTACACATTTATTAACTTCAATGAAGAAAGAGAGACTAATTAATGTTGATTAAAGAGTATTAAATTACGTTCCTGTATGCTATAACAGAGCCGGCCCATCAGCTTTGTGCAGCACAGATACCGGGTGGAGACGTGGAGTCCATGGCTCCATATCTGAGATAGGAGATGGTGGACCTACTTCAATAAAAAAAAATCTATGACCATGTCTTATCGATTTCTTTTTATTGGTTTCCAGTCCCATTTCGCAAATGGATTCCCCCCCTTGATGTTATTCTGAGACCACTAATTTGGAGGAGTATATTAGCAGTATAATAACGTACTTTCTGTCATCCCAGAAGAAAAGAAATATTTACTGTCATATTGTAAACGCTAAATTATTGGAGAACAGATTTTACCGAGTATTAAATTAGGAAAATATACGTTGAAAACCAGATAAAAAGATGCCCCCCTTTCGAGGGATTGTAGTTTTCTGTTGATCAAACAAGAATGGGGAAAATGATAGAGATAAACGAACAAATAAAAATTAAAAAACTGTAGATATGATGTAAGAAAAATGAAGGGGGCATGCATACCTGACCAAGTCTAGCCTGAGGAAACTTAGCTCTGACAGTATCTTCAAGTTCCTTGCCCAATGGAGCCCCTCCAGATTTTATCATCCTCAAAGAAGACAAGTCATGCTTGTCAAGATCAGGTGACTTAGCAATTGCCAACATCACAGGTGGAACAACTGGTGCTATAGATACCTTGTACTTCTCAATCAATCCCAGCAAAGTACCAATCTCAAACTTCGGCATTATCAAAATCGAGGCACCAACTCTCAGCCCACAGAGCATTATTGAATTCAGAGCATAGATATGGAACATAGGCAACACACACAAAATCACATCTTCACTGTGAAAATACAGGTTAGGATTGTCTCCATCTACTTGTTGAGCCACGCTGGTTATTAGCCCTTTGTGCGTTAACATGACCCCTTTTGGCAACCCTGTAGTCCCTGATGAATAAGGCAATGCTACAACATCATCAGGACTAAAGTCGACCTGGGGCACTTCATTTTCATCAGCCTGTGTTAGCTCTGAAAAGTGCAAGCACCCATCTGGGGCAGAGTCTACGCACATGACCTTAACATCATTTTCTCGGGCAAAATCTTTAACCTTCTCGTAGTAACAAGCCTGTGTTATCAAAAGCTTTGCTCTTGAGGCCTTGGCATGTTTGGCTAGCTCTGCAGGGGTGGAAAAAGGATTGGCAGCAGTGGTCATGGCACCTCTGTGTGAAGCGCCTAGGAAAGCAAGCACGAATTCAGGTGAACTTGGTAGGAAAAGCATGATCACATCACCTTGTTGAATACCAATCTTGTTAAGACCAGAAGCAACTCTTCTTGCTGTGAGCTCAACGTCAGCATAGGTGTAGACATCTCCGTTCGCGCCATTTATCAGGCAAGGTTTCGATGAATGTTTAGACGAGTTTTCAAGAACGTACGAATGCAGAGGAAGGTTTTTCGGGATGTAGATGTCTGGTAATTTTGAGCGAAAGATGAATTCTTCTTGTGGATTCATTATGGCGTCCATTGCGGGCTAAAGATGCAGAGGGAGAGATGGTGAGTTTTAGGTGCCCTCTGTTTTTTTATGGTAGGAGACCTGAGAAAGCAGAGTGCAGAGCATTCATGCTGATATAGAATCGGTTGGCATGGAGGGCGGGGGTTGGTGAAAGGATAAATTGGGTATCATGGAGTTGTTGGGGGGTAATATAGGGAAAACATTGATTGAAAATTGGGATGCGTTTGGTGAAGAATCTGTGGAGTTGGGTTGGTGGGATTGGGGTTTAATGGCGAGGAACGGTGGTGGGTTCCCATTTCGGTTGGCTATGAAAGTGGCCTTTTGACTTGAGAGAGGGTGGCTTGCCCTCCACTTGCCTTTTCACAGACCACCGATCCATTGTATTTTATGCACTAATTTATTTGCTAGCGCCTGTGCCTCTCCTCTCACCTACTGCCTCAAATGCAAAAGAGCTAAATCATACACTAATAAGATATTAATTTGATTAGGTTTTTTGTGATGTAATTAATCCATTCAAATCCCATATAAATTTGATTGAATTAACAAAAATACTATTATTTTAATTAATAACAAATGATTAGATAACCCCATGAATTAACCTCATAATTTAATAATCTAAATCTTTTTTAATTTTAGTTTTCAAATTGAGCTGCGATGCCCCCAAGTCGAGTAGTCATTTGACAACTGGTCACCTCTCTTTGACCTTTTTAATTTATTTTACAAAATTAGAGAGAATAATTAATTAGTTCTTGAATCTAGACGAACTATTTAATTCATTTTACAAAAAAACAATAAAATTAAATATCACATGAATATATTTTTTTCGCAAAAGGGTTCGAGTTCAAGACTCTAATTTTTGTTTTCAAAGAAAAGAACAATATTTAAAGCTATATCTTATTGGCAAAGTATGTATAAATCTAACATGAATCTACCAAACCTATTTTATAAACAAATCACTCCAACAAATATTATTCATTATATATATATAATTTTCCCGTCATCATGAGAAATCACACCTACAAAAACAAAAAAACTAGTGCTAGACATATCTCAATCACAACTACCCTATGAACCTCCATCATAGCCATGGTCCTCATGCATGCATATGTGTGTGTATATACATATATATAAACCTATAAAAAAGGAGGAGTGACCTAACTTCTCTTTCCTTTGTGTTCATGCCGACGTCAATAAATGATTAGAAAGGATCCCATACAACCAAGCCTACAGAAGAATGAAGAGGAAGCAAGACTTTCCAATAAATGCAGAATCTTGTCCAAGCCGATGGGCGTCGGAGGAATTTGACCTGACATGGAGTTGGTGGAGCCTAATGGGAATGCTTCTTTAAATAATCGAATCAAGGCTCGGAAGAGGAACTTGTTGGGTCCAAGTCAAAGAGGAGACATCCTCTTCATCTTTTTATCCATCTTCAACGCTACTTGTTTCTTTTCTTGAGCGGTGTCTTTTTTATTTTTGATTAATATGAATTAATTTGAATATACTTCAATATTTAAAAATTAACAATTATATAAATATTTAATGGCTAAAATTGATCTCAAAAATATACTTTAATCCCTCAATTTATAAAATTAAACCTTATCATTCCTTTATATTTTTTAAAATTCAATTTTGATTCACAACTTTATTTATGTTGTTTTTAATTTTCTGATTTTGAAAGAAAAAAGAATCTGATATAGAAAAAAAAAATCAATATTCTTGCATATTCCGATTATCAAATTAGTTAATATTAGTCTTCATGAATTTCATAGGATAAATGATAGAGTTTTTAATGGTGTTTTCAAATATTTCATGATATACAATAAAAAATAACACTGTTTATATTTTTTTTAATATAATTATATATTTTTTATCCAACCCGTAACCTAAAGATTTTCACCAATAACTTCTTTTTTTACCACCACTACCACATGCGAGAATTTTTTTGTCCAAGTCGATAAGGCCCGTCTGAGAAATTTGACCAGAAATAGAGTTGGTGGAGCTTAATGGAAATGCATCTTTAAAAAATCGAATCAAATTATACAAAATAGAATCTTGTTCGGTCTCCTGTTTCGGTCAATGAAGAGAAATCCAAGGAACAAGTAACCAAAAAAAAAAAGAAAAGAAAAACAAGAACATGTAGAAGAATCTCCATGAAAATAAATCTAAACCTGTAAAATAATTAAGCTCGACATTAGCATAATCATCCAAAACCAGGTAGTTTCCTCATCTCTTCCTCATCACCTAAACTTAAATTAGTTGTAATTACAAATCATGTGCTCTTCTCCAACTTTTAATTCACATCATGCAATGTAGTTATAAAACTTGGTTTGATGACTTTTTATTTTGTTTGGTAGTGTAATTATAATTATTTTTTAAATAATTTTTCATATTAAAATATATATTAATATTTTTTTTATTTTTTTAAAATTATTTTTAATATTAGTATATCAAAATAATTTAAAAATATTAAAAACATATTAATTTGAAGTTACTAAAAAAATAAAAAAATTTAATTTTTTTAAAAAACACTTTTAAGATACGAAAACAAATAAGTTAAGTTTTTATTTATCAAAATAATATCATTTTATTTTGATAAATGAAAAAAAGGATTTATATTAACCAAATCCTGCTCTTATAACTATATCATGCAGGAAAATATAATATTCAACTGCTAAATGAGTGGAGGCACAATTAAAAACATGTGCACAGTAAGTGGTAATCAAACATCTAAGAGCAATACATGCAACGGTCACAGTTCCTCAGGGGACTTCGATATAATTGATTTAAAGCAATGCAGGTAGGCAAATTGCATTTCTCTGCATGTTAATCTCCTCAAATGCAAAGAAATTGTTCTGCTTACAGACTGGTGAAGGATAACAAGGCCGAATAGTTCACAACGAAAAGGAGGTGCTGTTGGGCTGAAACAGGTGTTTAAAACTTCAACCTTAATGCAGCCAGAAGCCTTTGTCTCTCAGCCCGCATGCTCCTCAATCTTCTTTTCTGCTCCATCACGGAATCATAAACATTACCGGGGTCTTCTGTTTCAAGAGAATTCTCCATGAGTTTCACATACAGATTTCCTAGACTGACCTCTTCCTCTTCCTCTTCCTTGCCTTCATCTTGTCCTCCTTGTTCCTCTGCTAGCTTACCTTTCTCAGCTACTTCCTTCTCTTTCTCTTTATTCACTCTGGACATGGCAGTTTCCTGCACTCTGTAGCAAGAAATGGAGTGAGGAGAACCCTACTGAAACAAAAAATTCTGATTTATATCTAGCAATAAAGGTGCCAGTTATATACCCGTATTTGTCGTCCTCTGTATTCCAAGGACTTTCATTGGATTTATGAACATTTTCATGCTCCTCCTCATCTGGGCTCTCTCTATCTCTTTTTTCAAGAATGATCTTTATTTGGTCCTTGAAAAATTGTTCTTGAAAGTCCATCTTAGGAAAAGAATTGTTATGATCAGTCAAAATGGATAAAGGGACATGCAGAGATTATTCAGTTAAAATCAAAACCATGGAAGCAAAACAGGTCAAAGCAACGAGAAGCTACACCTCTAGCACTAGATATCATGCAAGGAACATGGAGGTAACTCATCATGAATAACTAGCACGGTTTTCATGGACAGTAGTGATTGTTTAACTAGAGAACTATCAGAAAAGGCAAGACATATAAGCTCATGAGCTTTCGGTAACTATTACCTCTTCCTTGTTCTGTTCATGCTGCAATTTGATTTTCTGTCTCAAAACATCAATTTCCCTCATTGCATTTTCCAGCCTCCCCCTCATTATGACATTTGATTCTTCAAGAAGTTTTAGGTGCCTTTGTTCTTCAGCTACTTTGTTGTTCATCCAGATAAACTGGTGACTGTCCTCGGTCGTTTTCCTGATCTGGTTCACAGCCATTTCTTCGTATGATCCCATTTCACATTTCAGCATGGGGTTACCTGCTGATCAATGGCACAGCATGCCATTTAGATTTTAGAGTATATATGATTTATTGGAAGACTTTTAGATTCAATGGCACAGAATTGAGCAGATAAAACTACTTGAATACAATCAATACCTCCTCGCGTGTTACTTATTTGTCCCTCACATGACCTATCTAGAGATCGTGCAGCAGTGCTCTTGAAATATCTGGGGCATGTTCGGAAGCCTCCTTTTCCTCTGTCAACTGCCATCTCAGAATCAGCATTGCTTGTGATGGCTTGATTCTGATCCATGTCTGTATGTCCCCATGCTTTAGGATTAGGATTCTGTGGACCCTGCTGTTTTGCGGCAATGGTTTCAGCCATTTTCACATGCTTACTTTCAATAAACCCCAACTCACCTTCATCTGGTGCTGAGTTGAGACTGATAACTTCCACTGCACCAGGACTTACTGATTCAGCTTCACTCTTTGGTGTCGGATTACCATTACTGGCATCAACAGTGAGAGACTTGCCAGTGTCATTTCTAGAACTCGTGTCCATACTCAACTCTTGGCTGCGCCATTCCTTTTCTAAAAGTTCCAAAGTTTTGCTGTAAAAAATTATTCAAAAATTTTAAAACACAGCAGTTCTTGAAACAAAAACTCAATTAAGTGATGACACTTTTCCGTGCGAGGAAACAAAAAATTAAATAAAATTCTGCCTAACTGAACGACCAATGAAAAGGCTCTGAACTTGATAGATCATTCTTTTACTAATAGCCAAAAATTACATTTCTTGGGTTTGTCCTAAATTATGGGCAAAAGTGAGAAAATAAATACTCATGTATATAATCCATATAAAAATCTAAAGCTGTCATATTTTAGGATAAGACTTCTCCGGGAGTGCTTACATTCTCTATATTTTGGTGGCTAGAGATTTGAGTTATTTTGGAATTTTGGGTGAAAGAGCAATTTTGTATGACATCTCGTAATCTTCTATTTTCTGTGAATTTAGTAACATCATCAACAAGCTCATATAATAAAGACATAATAGCAATAATGTTTTGGACAAGACATTCAATGTATGCTGTTCTCAAATTTAGAACATACTGACCTGCAGCCTAAGCAAAAGATCAGACCAGAGCTCTCATTTTTAATGATCTGATACTTTTCCTTCCTTTCCAGGCACATGTCACAGGAACTTAGAGATGGTTCACCCTTTTCTAGCACTCGCGGTGGTGGTTCAATCTTGTGTCCTAAAATTGCTTCCATGTTGGTCTTGGACGGAGTTGATGATGGCACATTGCTTGGCATCTGACAACTGATCAAAGAAGCCTTTAGAGCCTCTTCGAACTGTAATTCTTCAGCAAATTGAGCATCTAACAGGGCACGTAAAATCTCATCTTCTGATTCGTTTTGCTGCAAGAAAGATGGAAAGTAACCATCATTGTTAATAAGAGGATCAAGGAAGGCGGGCTCTATTGCCATGTTCTTATCACAAAATCTGTCTTCAACCTTGATCCTCTTCTCTCACACTGCACCATGGTCTCTCAACATCTACTACTTAAATGTCTGTCAAGAACTTACTTTGGAAGCTGTTTCTTTGGCAACTTCCTCGAGGGTTCAGCACTTTTTTACCTTTGATGGACTTGCTTTCCTTGGCTTTTCCTAGCCAAGAAATGGAGGCCAGGCACGCGTTATGGCCTTTTGTCCTTTTCCTATCACGTAACATACTGTTTGAGAACGTGATGCAAAAAATTTAAAATTTTATTTTTATTAAAATTTAATATATTTAATATTATTTTAATGTATTAATATTAAAAATAAAAAATATTATTAATACATATTTTAGTATAAAAAATTATTTAGAAAACAATTACAACAAAAAAACATAAACATATATATATATATATATATATATATATATATATATATCATCCCTTATACACTACATAATCGGAGGAGATAATTCCAATTAATTGAAACTGAACTCATCAACGAATTTAGCTACAAAAAGTTTGATTCATCTACATAAAAAAATAATAAATTCTATAGATTTGGGCTAGTGCTCTATTTGATCCCCTGCTAGAAATTATATCTTTGTTAGGTCTCTTCTGTCTCAGTCAATGAAGAGAAATCTCTTGATCTTTTTATCCATTTTCAACACTACTTGTTTCTTTTCGTAAATCTAAGCCGTGTACAATTACTACGCGATCACATTTTTTTATATGAAACACAACTAAGAGATTCTATTAATTAATTCATTCACATCATGCAACATGATTATAAAACTTGACCCAGTGCAGACGGAGAGAAGAGGGTTGCTGTCCTTCTGCTGGTGCGGACCGGTCTGATTTGGGGGCTGCTGTTGGGTTTGTTATAGGTGATACGCATTGTGCAGTGGGCGACGAGGCTGGTGGGTTCTTAGGCAGCAGAGCAGTGAATGTTGGTTCTATTACCAGGGAGGTTTATGGGAAAGAGGTTTGTTTTCTTGAAACAATTTTCTTCTGGTTTGGTTTTAGTTACTGGATTTGTGGTGTGGATGAGTTTTTCTGTGGAAGAGGGCCGGGTGGCTGGTCTGTGTGTGGAAGATGAACAGGGGATAAGGTTTTGGTCAAAAGAATGGCGTATTTAGCTGAGTGTAACTTTGTTTTTCAGATCACTTGCTCACAAATCTAGGGTTTACGATGTGCTTTGAATTTTCGAGAATGTGAACAAGTTCATGGATTGTTTAATTACGAGAATAATTAAAAGTTTATTGATAACTAAAACGTAAAGAAAAAAAACTAGGAAGACTAAGCAGTGTTTGAGAACGGTGTTGAACTTGTATTTTAAAAAATTTAAAAAAAATTTATTTTTTATTTTTATTAAAATTTAATATAATTTATACGTTTTACATTGTTTTGTTTTGATGTACTATATTAAAAATAATTTTTAAAAAATAAAAAAATATCATTAATATGTATTTTAATATAAAAATTTATTTGAAAAACAACCGCTATCACACTACCAAACACACTCTAAAAGAATTTAACTAAAGAAAAATCCATTGTTTAATATAAAAAATTATTTGAAAAATAACCGCTATCACATTACCAAACACACTACCAAACACACTTTAAGAAAATTTAATTGAGGAAAAATCCGTTATTTTATTAAATCATAAAAAAATTCTAATATTTTAAAAAATAAAACATAAATATGAAAATTAGAACAAATAACTAAATTTATACCAAACTAAATAAAATATTCAATAATAACTGAGTTAAACTCAATAAATAAATCAAAATAAAATCTCAAATATTCCTGTAAATATAATATCTAACAATAATAAAATTAAATCCTATAAATAATTCCAAATAAAAATAAAAATTGAGCTATCCTCCATCATCATGGACTCTACAGACGTGTGAGCCATGTCTTGAGTGTGATGTCTCCATTACTCCTCGTCTGTGTTCTGAGGATCCCCTCCCTTTTCATCTCTTTCTTCAAGAATATTCTTTATTTGGTCCTTGAAAAATTGTTCTTGAAAGTCCGTCTAAAGAAAAGAGTTGTTACGATCAGTCAGAATAGATGAAGGGACATACAGAGATTATTCAGTTAAAATCATGAGAGCAAAACAGGTCAAAGCAATGAGAATCTACACCTCTAGCACTAGATATCATGCAAGGAATATGGAGATTACTCGTCATGAATAACTAGCATGGTTTTCATGGACAGTAGTGAATAGTGATTGTTTAGCTAGAGAATCATCAGGAAAAGCAAGACATATAAGCTCATGAGCCTTCGGTGACTGTTACCTCTTCCATGTGCTGTTCATGCTGCAATTTGATTTTCTGTCTCAAAATATCAATTTCCTTCATTGCATTCTTCAGCCTTTCCCTCAACATGGCATTTGATTCTTCAAGAAGTTTTAGGTGCCTTTGTCCTTGAGCTACCTTGTTGTTCATCCAGATAAGCTGGTGACTGTCCTCGCTCATTTTCCTGACCTTGTTCACAACCATTTCTTGGTATGATCTCATTTCACATCTCAGCTTGGGCTTACCTACAGATCAATTGCATTGCATGTCACTTGAGAGAGTATAGAGTATATATGATTTATTGGCAGAATTTGAGGTTCGCGAAAGTTCAAGTTAAGCAAATAGAACCTTTTGAATACTGGTTGAAACAATCCACGTCTTCTTTCATTGCCATGAAACCATGAAGTTGGCGCTCTTCATTTGGCAGGAAGTAGACTGGACGATGATTCCAAGCATCTCTACCTGTTCCTTGTTCTTCAAAATGCTTATGCAGGCGCTCTGCCTCTAAAAAGCCCCTTGCTGAGCTCTCAAAAATCAAAACACTAATCCCACGATGTCCATGACAATTGTAAGCATGTTGAACCTTCATGATAGCGTCATATGAGCTGAAGGAGTCGAGCAGCTCTTTGCTTGTCATGCCAACCCACTGAAATCCATTTTGGTGCAACAAATAGTTGATTAGATCATAATCAGATACATTATTTTTGAAACAATGACAATTAAATACTGAACAGCATTTCTATCTTCATTTCTTTCTGTGAATGTGAGAACAGGACACGCATACCTTATTGTTCTCATCTTTCATAAGGCTAGTATTTCTAATGATGACCATAGGAGGCCAAACAATCTCATCATTTTTCTTCTCATGTTTTATACCTCTCCATTTACTCAACACTTTGGCAGCAGGAATGTCAGAAGTTCCCTTACTGCATAACTTCTCTTCCAACAGCCGTGCGAATTCCTGGTGGAGCTTCACCCTTTTTCCAAGTTTGGTTTTGGCATGTAATATCAGGGCCCGCAGGCCTTGGTACCATTTGTTAGCACCAGAACCTCCTTGGCATACAGGACAGTGCCACTGCCTAGCATGTTCATTGACATCCGCAGGTGCCAATTTCTCCAATATCCCAAGGAATTCCTTCAACAGAGTTCTCTTCTTGGTATTCCCAGGGCTCTTTTCAGAGGGATCGGAATCAGAATCAGATTCATCATTATCATCAAAAGCATCAGAGTCAGAAAGATCATCCACCAAGTCAATAAGATTATTCTGAATACCATTTGCATCTCTTTCTTGACCAGCGTCTGAACCCTTTCCTGGAGTACGATCAATAGCTCCTCGCGTGTTACATATTTGTCCCACACATGACCTGTCTAAAGATCGTGCAGCAGTGCTCTTGAAATATCTGGAGCGTGTTCGGAAGCCTCCATTTCCTCTGTCAGCTGGCATCTCAGAATCAGCATTACTTGGAATGGCTGGATTCTTATCCACGTCTGTATATCCCCATGCTTTAGGATTAGGACTCTGTGGACCCTGCTGTTTTGCGACAATGGGTTCAGCCATTTTCCTATGCTTACTTTCACTGAACCCCAACTCACCTTCATTTGGTGCTGAGTCGAGACTGACAGCTTTCACTGCAACCTTGGCAGTGTCATTTCTAGAACCCATATCCATACTCAACTCTTTGCTGCACCATTCTTTTTTTGACAGTTCCAAAGTTTTGCTGTGAAAAATTAGTCAAAAAATTTAGAATACAGGAGTTCATGAAACAAAACTCAATTAAGTGATGACAAACTTTTCTGTTCGAGGAAAAAACAATTAAAGAAAATTCTGCCTTACTGAACAGACCAATGAAAAGGCTCCTGAACTTGATAGATCATTCTTTTACTAATAGCTAAGAATTAGATTCATCTCTTTCCCTTTATGTAAAATTGTTGCTGATTAATATGGAAGTTTTAATCAACGCTCTTCTGAAATTCATCTGTAAAGTCTGCCCGGAAAGTGGGAATTTGTAGCGATATTTCGAAAGTTATAGTTTAGTTTCGATGGATTAAATCCTTTGAGAGGATATTGATTGTTTATACTCAAACTATTGTTATGTTGGCCTTAGCAATTAGCATTTAGTGGAAAATTCTACTGTTCCTTACCAGTTTATCAGTCAGGTCAAATCCCCTCCCTGCTTTACACAGTAAACTTCTACAGGACGATAAGGCCTAATGGTATGTAAAAGTGGGTATAGCTCAATGTAGTAACATCATCAACAAGCTCATATAATAAAGACATACTAGCAATAATGTTTTGGACAAAATATTTACTATATGCTGTTCTCAAATTTAAAACTTACTGACCTGCAGCCTAAGCAAAATATCTGACCAGAGCTTTCATTTTTAATGATCTGATATTTTTCTTTCCTTTCCAGGCAAATGTCACAAGAACTCAGTGATGATTGACCTTTTTCTATCACTTGCGGTGATGGTTCAAACTTGTGTCCTGAAATTGCTTCCATGTTGGTCTTGGACGGAGTTGATGATGACACAATGCTTGGCATCTGACAACTGATCAAAGAAGGCTGTGGAGCCTCTTGGAACTGTAATTCTTCAGCAAATCCAGCTTCTAACCGAGCACGTAAAATTTCATCATTGTTAATAAGAAGATCAAAGAAGGCTGGTTCTGTTGCCATGTTCTTATCACAAATCTGTCTTCAACCTTGATCCTTTTCTCTCACAATGCACCATTGTCTCTCAACATCTACCACTTAAATATCTGCCAAGAACTTACTTTGGAAGCTGTTTCCTGGGCAACTTCCTTCGAGGGTTTAACACTTTTGTGGTTACTTCGGAAGTTGCTTCTCGGACAACTTCTCTTGAGGGTTTAACACTTCTGTAGCTTTGATTCACTTGCTTTACAAGGCTTTTCCTAGACAAGGAGTGCAGGGTCAGGCACGCGTTATGGCCTCTTGTCTCACATAAAAAATGGGAGTGGATAAACAAAGAAAAAGGAGTTAATTATATCTTTATTTTGAGATAATTCCAATTAATTGAAACTGGACCGAATAATGAATTTAGCTACAAAAAGTTTGATGGTTCATGCACATAAAAGCATAATTAATTCTATTGAATGGGGTTAGTGCCGTATTTGATCCCCTGCTAGAAATTATATCTTTTTTTGGTCCTTATAATATATATTTCACTCTAATATCATCCTTTAACTACTCATTTCTTAAATCATTAGTCCTTCTCAACTGCCATACTAACAAGCATGACAATTGATGGAAGGAGCACATGGCAAATAATTCCAAGTAAGGAGACGACACCAAAGACAAGGCCTGTCCTCGACTCCCTCTGAAAAAGATTGAGTAATTTCTTAAATTTGGGCAAATGATGGAATAATATGTGATTTTACTGACAATTAAAGAAATAAATATAGAACATAGAATATAGATCGATAGATAAAATATTCTCCATGGAATATGTGATCAGCCTAGTTATATTCAAGACTAAAAAAACAATAAAAAATAAGGGTAAGGACATCAAGGAGAGAAGATCAAGAGTGTAGGGACCGAAGGCACAATTAACCTCACGAATCTTTGAAAATATCCAACTTGGCAAGAGGGTGAACCGAAGAACCTTCTTGGACCAGGATTTAGGAAAGCAAAAGGAAGCTTTGCAATAAAGTGGCAAACACACTGCACAGAGTCCTAGGTCATGTCAAACAAAGGTTAAATAACAACCCCCCGTATTAAGCAGTTTGCCCAGCGGTTTCCAGTGGGAGGAGACTTCTTCTAAGCGAAGTCACTTCTACAGTGACGCCATCTGATATCGAACCATAGAGTGACCGGTGGTTAGTTTGTTATAACATGGCACAACAATCCGTTGCCCCCTTTGAGCTTGATTTTGTTGATGATTTTTACTTCTCAGCGCTCTTTGATGAAGAGCAAGAAGAAGGAGGAGGAGGAGGAGAAATATTTGAAGTATCAGATGCCAAATATGCAGAAGAGTTGCAATTCCAGGAGACGTTGATGGGTTCTGTCATCGTTTCTCAAATGAAAAACATTGGGCCATCACCGATGATGATGGAAGGAATCCCAGTGGTGCTTCCTATTTCAGATCAGCCTATGCGTATGGAGATCATCGATTTAGAAGCCGGTGAGTCTTCTTTAACTTTCTGTGAGATTTGTGCTGAGAGAAAAGAGAATGATCAAATGTTCAAAACTGAGAGCTGTGCTCACTTATTTTGCAATGACTGCATAAGCAGACATGTGGCCACTAAGGTCCAAGACAACATTAGAATAGTTACTTGCCCTGGGTTGAGCTGCACGGCTGTCCTTGAATTGGACACCTGCAGGCCTGTACTGACTAGGGGAGTGATTGATCTTTGGGAGGAGGCATTATGTGAAGAGGTGATTAATGCATCCCAGAGGTTTTACTGTCCATTCAAGGATTGTTCAGCTTTGTTGGTTGATGATAATGAAGGAGAACCAATTAGAGAATCTGAATGCCCCATCTGCCATAGATTGTTCTGTGCTCGGTGTTCTGTGCCTTGGCATCCTGGGGTTGAATGTGATGAGTACCAGAGGCTGAATGAGGACGAGAGAGGGAGAGAAGATCTCATGGTGAGGGAACTTGCCAAGGACAAGAAATGGGGTAGATGCCCTAAGTGCAAGTTCTATGTGGAAAGAACAGAAGGTTGTCCTCACATGGTCTGCAGGTCAGTTTGTCTTTCGTTGTCATTACAATTCAAAACTTGTTTATTACTACATAATTTTTCTTTAATTACACAAGTTTCTGTCACTGATGATCTTTTACTCATTGCTAATTTTAACCAAACATTGTGATTTGTATAGATAGGAGCATAGAGAAAGAGGCCTCAAACTGCAACTATAAACAGCATTTAGTAACTTTGAACTACATATCTATGCAAGTACATTGGAGTTTCTTTTTTTAACATATGATCATAAATGCAGGTGTAGGTTTGAGTTTTGCTATGGGTGTGAAGAACAATGGGGCCAAACTCATGGAGGATGCACTAGGAAATAAGAAGCAGACCAAGCCTCAGAGAAGTAGTATAACCATCAACCACGTTGTAAAGAAGAAACTACTAGTAAGTTGTTTTTAGGTATTCAGCAAGAAGGTGTGTCAAGGAATGAAGCTACAGTAGCCATGCTATTTGTATCTTGTAATGGTCTGACTGCAAAATGTACTAAGAAATTTCTAATGCTCTAGCCTCTATCAGTGCATTTCTTCTTCTTTCACCTTGTTCTTGCTGTTCTTTTCTTTTCTTTTCCTTTCAGACAAGTCTCTCCATCAATGCTATTTGCAACTTAAGTAAGATTTTGATGACAAATTAGATATAATTGAGTGCTGTAGCTTTGTTCTTCCTGATGCAATTGTTAACTTTATGCTTTGTGAGATTCATCCAGAATCTTTCATCCATTTCAGAGGAGTATATGATGTCTGTCAAGTTCTTGCTACTCTTAGTTTAAGGATATCACTCACATGACCATAACTAGGAAAAATATTTCCCGTGACTTGTGAGAGAGTTTAGCCATTTTCTAAGGTATCTTGCTCAAGTTGCAGCGAGTTTTTCTTCATTTTTTGCCATCACCATTGCACCAAAGATCCATAGTTGAAAAACCTTCATATATGTTCATCCCGTTCCACGAGTTTCTCACCCCCATCCTGTAAATATTGGTGAGGAAAGGACAGAGGCATCGTAGAAGCCATCCATTAATCTCCTGAAAATTTTCCCATCCTGTAAATTTCTTTCGTTCACACTTGACCATTATGCTTCTCGATTGAATTTGGTGAGGAGAGGCAGTGGCAGAGGCATCGTGGAAGCCATTAATTAAGTTCCTGAAAACTTTCCACTAAAATGACCTTCAATTGCCCGAGATATAAGCAATGTATGAGAGAAGGCTTAACACACTGATGAATTTTCTTAATTTTTCATTTGAGTTTTTCTATTTTTATGTTTGTTATTCAAAATTTTAAACTTTGATTTTTAAAGTGTTTTTTATTTAAAAATATATTAAATAATATTTTTTTGTTTTTAAAAAAAGTTATTTTAAATATTATCATATTAAAAATAAAATAAATAAATTAAAATAACCAGGTTATTAAATTCCTGAGCATTAAAGTCGAATACCAAAAGTTGTTGGCATCGAGAAATGCCCCGGCAAAAGCAACCACTCCGATAATTAATTCAGTGTATATTTTAAGATTAACAAAACGACTAAAATAGTCCGTTTAACCATTGATATAATTAATATACTTTTTAATTATATAATAACATCTTCATGTCGTAGCTGAGCAGACGAGAGTTCATGTCTTAGTTTATAACCTGTTTGTCTTAGCTTATGCTTTTAAAGTAAATTATAAAAAATAATCATTTGATAACAATTAAAATATCATTTATTATTCATGAGCTCTACCATTATTTACGTTTGAAATATAGAGAGAGGAAAGCAGCTATACGCTACTTTTTACATGAATGAATCATTTTTCACTGTTTACTTAAACGAATAGTCTTCACTATTTACATTTATTATTAACATATTAAATTAGGTTTGATTTAACAAAATAAAAAAATTAAAATTTTTAATTTTTAATTATATTATAATTGAAAAACTAATGTTTAACATAATTATTAAAATTTTTATAAATTAGATGAATATAAATTAGATGAATATCACTTAATGATGTAACATTTATAGAATTTAATCGCAATTCCAATTTTATTCATCACTATATTTTTTCTCATGTCATGGCGCGCTTAAGAAACTAAGAAAACTATAATCCTTCTCAGATGTATTACATACATAATAGAATTGTAAATAATTTAATGGAATAATAAAAAATATTTTATATAAAGTAATATTTATTTCATGATATAATAATAATAGTTAAATCTACAATATTTAAATTAAAAATTATCAATATTAATATATATTTTTTAAAAATTATTTTATAACCTCAATTTTAAAAATATTTTTAACCAAATAAATTAAATTATTTTTTGTTCAACCTCAATTTCAATACAGATTTAACTAAATATATATAAATATCAAACCAGCCTCAATAAAAAAAATTATAAAACAATTTTTTTTAAAATTATAACTATAAAAACTATTATAATATCAAACATACTCTAAAATTTGAGATTGATATTTTAGCATATTTAATTAATGATGGGAATGATATTTGAGCTGAGGTAATAAATGCATATCTTAGTTTAAGATTTGTAGATGACCAATAACATGTCATTTATGTGATGTTTTTTTTTTTTTAAAAAAGATGGATGACTTTTTTTTGACTTTGTTAATCAAATTTTTCTCCTTCTCGGTTCACTTCTTTTATGGACATATTGGAGGTCAATTAGCCCTAATTAGCTAAACAAAAAAAGGACTGAAAGCTGGAGGATGAAAGTAAAAATGTAGGAAAATAGATGGCAAATTCAAAGTTTGCATGAAAAATTTAGTTTGGTCACTATAATTTTTTATTTTTTTCCTTTTCAAAATCTTTGATTTTTGAAAAAACAATTTGGTCCTGAGTATCAATTTTTTTTTTCAATTTCTTGTTTAGGAGGGAATAGAAAGAGCTTTTAGAATTTCAATGATAAAAAAAGTCTTGGTTTTACCAATTACATGTCATATGGCCCATGCATTAGGGCTTTGTTGGAACATACCCTTTCTTTTTAAAATT